GATGGGCCAGGGACCGTACAGAGCCTGCCCCACCCGTTCCTCCTACCCTGATTCTCATAGCAGCCCTAGGAAGCTGTGGGGTTTTGTTCTTTCAAAACCTGTTCAGAGACAGTGAGTACCTTCCTAAAGTCACTGGAGTAAGGAGCAGGTTGGGTATTTGAGCCCAGCTCTGCAGCTTTTCCTTCTCCGTGTGTTTTTAGACAGGTGGTCTCCCTGTATTGCGCAGGCTGGTCTTGAACTCCTGGGCTCAAGTAATCCTCCCACCTCAGCCTCCCAAAGTGTTGGGATTACGGGCATCAGCCACCATGCCCAGCCTCCTCTCAGTTAATTGAGGAAGTATATTCTCATGGTGAAGAAAAGCTTCAGCACAGCCCAGAGCAGCAGGGTGAGCAGCAGGCCCTCAGGAGGCAGCCCCACACCACTGGCACTCTGCCGGGTCACTTCTCACGTTCTCTGCAGATGTCACGGTGCCAAGTTCACAGTTTCACTCTGTGCTAGGGGCGTGAGGCTGTCTCAAATCCTCCCAAAGGGTGAAAAACCCCTGCCCAGAGTAGAGGTGTGGGGTTTCCTAGTTTGGGATTTTTTTGTAACTGTGGTGAGATATTGCTGACATATGTTGGTCAGTTTCATTGTTGGCTAGTTGTTAGTGTGCAGTTCTGGGGCGTTCGGTGCCTTCATGGTGCCGTGTATGCACGTCCACTCCCAGCACCCCCAACATAAGCTTGGAACCCATTACACCCACTTCCCCTGACTCCCTTCCACGGCCTCTGGGAATCTCTTTTCTACTTTATCTCCACAAGCTGTCTCTTTTGGAAACCTCATAGACGTGGAATCGTACAGATTTGTTCTTTTGTCAGTAGCTTTTTTTTTTTTGAGACAGAGTCTTGCTCTGTCACCAGGCTGGAGTGCAGTGGTGTGATCTCGGCTCACCACAACCTTTGACTCCTGGATTCAAGCAGTTAGCCTCCTAAGTAGCTGGGATTACAGGCGTAAACCACCACACCTGGCTAATTTTTGTATTTTTAGTAGAGACGGGGTTTCACCATGTAGGCCAGGATGATCTCTGTTGACTTCGTGATCCACCCGCCTTGGCCTCCCAAAGCGCTGGGATGACAGGCGGGAGCCACCACGCCCTTCCATCACTGGCCTATTTCGTTGGGCATAATGTCCTCGAGGTTCATTCATATTGTTGCATATTCAGACTTTCATTCCCCTCCCCCACTTTTTTTTTCCCCCCTGAGACAGGGTCTCACTTTGTCACCCAGGCTGGAACACAGTGGTACAATCACAGCTCACTGCAGCCTTGACTTCCCTGGGCTCAAGAGAGTCTCCCCTCTCAGCCCCTCAAGTAGCTGGGACTACAGACATGTACCACCATGCCTGGCTAATTTTGTATTTTTTGTAGAGATAGGGTTTCACCATGTTGCCCAGGCTGGTCTCGAACTCCTGAGCCCAAACAATCCTGCCTCAGCCTCTCAAAGTGCTGAGATTACAGACGTGAGCCACCACGCGTGGCTGATTTTTTTCTTATTTTGTAGAGATGGGGTCTCACTATGTTGCCCAGACTGGTCTTAAACTCCTGTGCCCAAACAGTCCTCCAGCCTCATTCTCCCAAAATGCTGGGATTACAGGCATGAGCCACCGTGCCAGGCCCTTTGCCGTCTTTTTTGTACTTCATTTCACAAAAGACTCCAGTTTGACTGTTACTGGGTGTGTATGAAGAAATGAGGAACTATAAGCCTTAGTACAGAGATGCCCCAGAAATCGGTCAGGGGCTGGGGGCTTGGCCTTGGTGGATCTGCTAAGGCTTTACATGACCACAAGCTGAGGCCCCCACCCCCGGCCTGAGTGGCAGCTGAGGCATCCTGTGCTGTGCTCATATTTTAGCAACAGTTTGTCCCTTGGGTCGGGAAGGCTGCCGCTCAGGGCCTGTCCTCTGCTCTTGGCTTCATTTGTGCCAAGTCGAGCTGAGTTTTGGCTCTGATGCTGTCCATGGTAATTGGACTCCAAACCTGTGCAGCCGAAAAAGGCCTTGGCGTTTGGTTGTTGGATGCGTGTGCCAACGAGGCTCACCAGCAGCAGCTTAGTCCACGTCCTGCTGGGCTCTGCCTGCCCAGCGCTGGCCACAGGGTGGGTGCCCAGCGAGTGTCGCCTGGAGTTGACTGCATCCTGCTACTGCAGGAGAGAGAAAGGGCATCTAGGGTTTGTCAAGAAGTGCCATCCAGGCTGGGTGTGGTGGCTCACGCATGTAATCCCAGCACTTTGGGAGGCCAAGGTAGGTGGTTCACTTGAGGTCAGGAGTTTAAGACTAGCTTGGCTAACATGGTGAAACCTCGTCTCTGCTAAAAATACAAAAATTAGCCGGGCGTTGTGGTAGCCACCTGTAATCCCAGCTACTTGGGAGGTTGAGGCAGGAGAATCACTTGAACCCCAGACTGTATCTCAAAAAAAAAAAAAAAATGCTGTCCTTTTTAAAATTTTTCTTGCATGATGACCACGTTCAGCATTCTACTTGCTGAATTATTTATCTCTTAGAAACTTGCATTTCTAATAGAGATGATCAAAAACAGTCTCCCATCTTCTGTGGGATTTCCTCCACCCCATCCTGTTAGAATAGAAGCTGCAGGGGCCAGGCCCTCTTTTCTCAGGGCCCAGCACAGGAGTCACTGTGAGGAAGCACTCTGAAGACAGTTTTGATTGACAGGGTCGTTTCCCTGGAATTGCTTTTCTTTTTTAAAAAATTTTTGAGGGCTTAACTGCATATAGGAATGGTTTCATTTTTTTTTTCTTATTTATTATTTTTATTGTGATTATTTTTCAGAAACAGAGTCTCACTGTGCCACCCAGGCTGGAGTCCAGTGGTTCAACCGTAGTTCACTGTAACCTTGAACTCCTGGGCACAAGTGATTCTCCTGCCTCAGCCTCCCAAAGTGTTGGGATTACAGGCATGAGCCACCACATCCAGCCAACTGGTTAATTTTCAAGAAGCCTGTTTCAGAGGACAAATGTGTATGTTAGAACATTTGCAGGGCTCGGTGGCTCATGCCTGTAATCCTAACACTTTGGGAGGCCAAGGTGGGCAGATCACGAGGTCAGGAGTTTGAGACCAGCCTGATGGTGAAACTCCATTTCTACTAAAAATACAAAAAATTAGCTGGGCGTGGTGATGCAAACCTGTCGTCCCAGCTACTTAGGAAGCTGAGTCAGGAGAATTGTTTGAGCCCAGGAGGCAGAGGTTGCAGTGAGCCGAGATAGCGCCATTGCACTCCAGTCTCGGTGACAGAGCAAGACTTCATCTTGAGAAAAACAAAAGAAAATTTAAAATTTTATTTATTTTTTGAAGCTAAACCCAAACCTGACCACCCTAAAACTCACTTCTGATGGTCTAGTTTTACCTTTGTAGGAGCAGCGGATGCTTATCCGTGTCTTTGATTTGGAACTTTATGGATTTTGTTGTTGTTTTAGAGAAATAGGGTTTTGCTATGTTGCACAGGCTGGTCTCAACCTCCTGGGCTCAAGTGATCCTCCTGCCTCAGCCTCCCAAATAGTTAGAATTGCAGATGTGAGCCACTTTGTCCAGCTCTAGAACTTTGTTTAAATGTCATTTTAAAAGCCTAAATCTGACCAGCCATAAGGACTTGCCTGAAGTAAACTGTGATATGTTTACACAGCACAAAACTGTGTAGATACAGAAAAAGCTGTTTTTTCTTGAGGCAGGGTCTTGCTCTGTTGCCCAGTGGTGCAATCATAACTCACTGCAGCCTCAACTTTCTGGGCTCAAGTGATCCACCCACCTCAGCCTCCCGAATAGCTGGGACTACAGGCACTCGCCACCAAGCCTGGTTGTGTTGTTGTTTTTTTTAGTAGAGACAGGATCCAGGCTAGTCTTACATTTTTATTTTTTGTAGAGACGATATTGCCCAGGCTTGTCTCAGACTCCTAGGCTCAAGTGATCCTCCTGCCTTGGCCCCTCAAAGTGCTGGGATTATAGGCGTGAGCCACTGCATCTGGCACCTGCTTCATGCCAAGCCCTATACAAGGTGCTGGGAGCACAGCCATGAACAACGGACATGGCAGCGGATCCTGGAAAGACTCACATATCAGTGCACAGCGTCATCCCATTGTGAGTCTCCACTGGGCCTGCCTTGTCTGAGGATTCACGGCCACCCTCTTTGTCTGTGTTTTTAGGGTATTTCGCAAGCTGCCAGATACGTTTACCGACGACTCATCCATGATGGGATTTTGAGCCAAGCCTTCAGCATTGCTCCTGTGAGATCTTAATGTTTCTTTCCTTGTCCTCTTGGGAGCTGTTGCTTTTCCCCTTTACCTCATTCTGCTGTCTGTCCTCCAGGACTACCGGCTGGTCATCGTGGGCCACAGTCTCGGGGGCGGGGCAGCCGCCCTGCTGGCCACCATGCTCAGAGCCGCCTACCCGCAGGTCAGGTGCTACGCCTTCGCCCCACCCCGGGGGCTGTGGAGGTGAGCCTTTGTTTTCCTACTCCAGCAGCTTGCTACTTACAAGTCATGTGGTCAAGACTCATCTTTTATTCATCATTTAGTTACAATTTCTCATCCACAAGAAAGGTTTGTGGTTTTTGTTTTGTTTTTGAGACAGAGTCTCGCTCTGTCATGGAGGCTGGAGTGCCATGGTGCGATCCCAGCTCACTACAACCTCCGCCTCCCGAGTTTAGGCGATTCTCCTGCCTCAACCTCCTGAGTAGCTGGGATTACAAGTACCCACCACCACACCTGGCTAATTTTTATATTTTTAGTAGAGGAGGGGTTTCACCATGTTGCTCAGGCTGGTCTTGAACTCCTGACCTCAAGTGATCCGCTGACCTTGGCCTCCCAAAGTGCTGGGATTTACAAGCTTGAGCCACCACGCCCAGCTGAGGTGTGTGTTTTGAAGTACTGTTTCACTGAAGAAAGTCTGTATAGCCTTTCTTAGACCTGTGTGACCATACCTTTAACTTCCTAAATGATATAATTCTAAGAGTCTTAGCTTTGCACGGTGGCAGTATCGTAGCCAATGAGGTTTATCCAAGGCGCAGTTATTGCTAATTGAAAACTTTTCCCAATACGCCACCACAACGACTTGAAATATAGCCGGTAATTTTTTGACAGTCTCTACGGCGACTGAAAAAAAGAAGAGTCTTTTTTTTAAAAGACTTTATTTTTTAGAGCAGTTTTAGGTTGACAGCAAAACTGAGCAGAAGGTTGTAGGGCTTTCTCATACCCTCCCTCCCCACAAGCATGCACAGCCTCCCCCATTCACACACCCCTAGCAGAGGGGGCAGCTTGCCGACATCCATGTGCCTTGTAGGCGACTGCCCAGAGCCACAGTGTGCTGAGCTTGGACACATGCATAATGGTCATGTTGAAAGACATTTTTGAGTTTGAAAAGTACATTTTTATTTTCCTGATTCAGCACACTGACTGTTCTGTGTAACCTGTTGCCTTTATTATAAAGGAAAATTATACCACAATTTAAAATGAAATAAAGGCCAGGTGTGGTGGCTTACACCTGTAATCCCAGTCCTTTGTGAGGTTGAGGTAGAGGATCACTTGAACCCAGAAGTTTGAGACCAGCCTGGGCAACATAGCAAGACCACCCCGTCTCTGAAAAAAAATTTTTAATGTGAAATAACATAGGCCAGGCATGGTGGCTCGCACCTGTAATTCCAGCCCTTTGGGAGGCCAGGAGGAAGGACCATATGAGGCCAGAAACACAAGACCAAACCTGGCAACATAGCAAGACCCAGTCTCTACAAAAAACTTGTTTTTTGAGACAGTCTCACTCTGTTTCCCAGGCTAGAGTGCAGTGGCGCTATCTCAGCTCACTACAACCTCCACCTCTGAGTTCAAGCAATTCTCCTGCTTCAGCCATCCAGGTAGCTGAGATTATAGGCCCGTGCCACGACGCCTGGCTAGTTTTTGTATTTTTAGCAGAGATGCGTTTTCACTGTGTTGGCCAGGATGGTCTCAAGCTCCTGAGCTCAAATGATCTGTCCGCCTTGGCCTCCCAAAGTGCTGGGATTACAGGCGTGAGCCACTGTGCCTGGCTCCATCTCTACACAAAATTTTAAAAATTACCTGAGCACAGCGGCACACAGGCCTGTAGTCTCACTGACTCAGGAGGTTGAGGTAGGAGGATCACCTCAGCCCCAAGAGGCAGAGGTTGCAGTGAGCTCTGACTGTACCACCACTCTCCAGCCTGTGTGACGGAGTGAGACACTGTCTTTAAAAAAACATTTTTTTAAAGGTAGTCATTATTGGCTGGGTGTGCTGGCTCAGGCCTATAATTTCAGCACTTTGGGAGGCTGAGGCAGGCATATCACCAGGTAGGAGATTAAGACCATCCTGGCCAACATGGTGAAACCCCGTCTCTGCTAGAAATACAAAATTAGCTGGATGTGGTGGTGCGTGCCCGTAATCCCTACTTGGGCGGCTGAGGCATGAGGATCACTTGAACCAAGGAGTTGGAGGTTGCAGTGAGCCGAGATTGTGCCACTGCACTCCAGCCTGGCAACAGGGCAAGACTATGTCTCAAAATAAGAGTAAGAATAAGCTTCATTTGTCTGTTTTCTTGCTTTTTTTTTTGGACACAGGGTCTTGCTCTGTTGCCCAGGCTGGAGTGCAGTAGCACAGTCATGGCTCACTGTAGCCTCTTGCCTCCTGGGCTCAAGTGATCTTCCAGCCTCAGCCTCCCAAGTAGCTGGGACCACAGGCGTACACCACCACACCCAGTTAATTTTTGTAAGGAATGGGGTCTTACTATGTTGCCCCAGGCTGGTCTCAAACTCCTGGGCTCAAGTGATCCTCCTGCCTAAGTCTCCCAAAGTGCTGGGATTAAAGGTGTATGAGCCACTGTGCCTGGTCTCATTTTCTTGCTTTCTGGTACAACAAAATGTTCTCAAGTTTTGGGCTTGAAATGAGCAAGTATTTTTTTCCTGTTCCACATCTGGAATCAACCATTTCTCCAAGGAATATTGGTTCCTTTAGTGGGAGATGGTATTTCTGAACTATAGTCTGGGCACTAGTGGTTCCCATTACCACAGGGCTGGTCATAATTTCCAGGCTTTTCACTGGAAAGAGGTAGGAAAAGCTTTTGTTGTACCAAAGAGAAAAGAAACCTTAGTGTACATTGATACTTCCAGTTTAAAGATCGGGAGGCTGGCATGGTGGGTCACACCTGTAATCCCAGCACTTTGGGATGCTGAGGCAGGAGCATCACTTGAGCCCAAAGATCGAGACCAGCCTGGGCAACATAGCAAGACCCCGTTCCTTACAAAAATTAGCTGGATGTCGTGGCGTGTGCTTGTGGTCACAGCTATGATCTCAGCTTACAGCTACCAGGGAGGCTGAGGTGGTAGGATTGCTTGAACCCAGGACAAAGAGGTTGCAACGAGCTGAGATCCTGCCACTGCACTCCAGCCTGGGCAACAGAGATAGACTCTGTCTCCAAAAAAAAAAAAAGTAACGATCAGGGTTTTTACCTGTACCATATGGTTTTGTATTGTTTTTACTGAAAACTCTTTATCTTTTTCTGATCTGAAAAATTTGGTTTTTGCCAATAGTAACCTGTTTATTACATGTCCCCCATATGATATAGAGATGCATAGAGCACCCTTTCAGAATAATAATACCAGGATAACGTCTAACATTAGGATGACTGAAGGAGTTTGCCATCTCCGTGTGGTTGGTTTCTTGCGAGAATATATTCCTGGCAGAGCTGTACAGCCAAATTCCCATTGTTTTTCAATTCACTTGAAATAATTCTTCTGTTTGGTTAATACACTAGTAGGTTTGTTTTGTTTGGCTTCAGATTTTAGGGATTGCTTTGTTGTTATTTTGTGTAATTTTGTTTTATAATTACGTAAAATAAAATAAAACATCAGGCTGGGCATGGTGGCTTATGCCTGTAATCCTAGCATTTTGGGAGGCTGATGCAGGTGAACTGCCTGAGCTCAGGAGTTCGAGACCAACCAGGGGAACACACTGAAACCCCATCTCTACTAAAAATACAAAAAATTAGCTGGGTGTGGCAGCATACACCTATGGTCCCAGCTACTCAGGAAGCTGAGACAGGAGAATCGCTTGAACCTGGGAGGCAGAGGTTGCAGTGAGCCGAGATAGTGCCACTGCACTCCAGCCTGGGTGACAGAGTTAAGACTCCATCAATAAAAAAAAAAAAAAGGCTGGGTGCCTACTTTGGGAGCCCAAGGTGGGAGGATGGATGACAAGGTCAGGAGATCGAGACCATCTTGGCCAACATGGTGAAACCCCGTCTCTACTGAAATACAAAAAACTAGTCAAGTGGTGGTGGGTGCCTATAATCCCAGCTACTCAGGAGACTGAGGCAGGGAAATCGCTTTAACCTGGGAGGCGGAGGTTGCAGTGAGCCAAGATCACGCCACTGCTCTCCAGCCTGAGTGACAGAGCAAGACTGTCTTTAAAAAAAAAAAAAATCAGTTCCAAAGACAATTCAACAAAGCAGGGTAAATTCAGAGAAATCTCGTTTCCATCCTTGTTCCCTCAGAAATGCTGTTCTGTCACCCCACAGGTAGAAGTGTGCGTGGTTTTCACCTGTTTCCATGTGTCCATAGCTGGAAGTAGGCGTGTTTGTGTTCCCCTCTTCCTCTACCTGCTCATCTGCCTCTGCTGCGGCTGTTAACTTTCACCGTGTCCTGAGATGGCACCGCAGCAGCACACACAGTGCTCCTCCTCCTCCCAGCTGTGCGGGACACACTATTGATTGTGTAACTTGTTGCTGTTAGTGGATTGAAGGCAGCTCTGTGGATGGGTATTTGGAGGCTCGCAGCCCCTGCCAGTGCAGGTTCCGCCGCAGTGAATCGCCTGTTGCCTCTGCCCCTTCATTTTTGCATCTCTGATGGAGTCTTCCAAGCGGCGTTTCTGGGTCAGAGGACAGATGCATGGGCCTGGCCCACTTTGGTGTCCAGTCTGCAGTTTTAGCTGCCGGGGTCTCTCTTGAACAGATACTGCGGCTTTAGTGGATGTGGCCAGTGAGTTGCTGTAACTGGTGTTTCCCCTCCCTTTAGAGAATAGAGAGCAAAGCTGAGGCCTGTGAAACTAACCTGTCAGTGACCTGGCAGTGTTACTGACTTCTCTCTTGAAGTCCTTGTGGGCAGTGTGATGGTAAAGCTAACGTCCTCTCCCTGTTTGGAATTTCAGCAAAGCTCTGCATGAATACTCTCAGAGCTTCATCGTGTCGCTTGTCCTGGGGAAGGATGTCATTCCCAGGTAAGCCCACCCAGCGCTGTGCCCAGGGATGGGGGGCTGGGGGTTGGGAGTGCCGGGTCCTAGCCTCAGTGTGCCTCTTTGCTAAACAGGCTCAGTGTGACTAACTTGGAAGATCTGAAGAGAAGAATCTTGCGAGTGATCGCACACTGCAGTAAACCCAAGGTAAGCGGAGTGCCTTGTTGAGAGGGCCTGCAGGACCCGGGGCCTGTCCATGAGATGCTCTGGAGAGCTGGGAGGAACTGCACCCTCAGCACAGGGCACTTTATGCTGTTGCTGAAGTTCTCGTCCCACCCTCTGGTCAGATTCTGGTCTAGGATTCTGATGCCTAAGAAAGCAAATAGCTACGGCAAGTGCAGGAAATGGCACAGGAACGAAATAGGATCTGGGCTGGGCACAGCAGCACATGCCTGGAATCCCAGCACCTCAGGAGGCCGAGGCAGGAGGATCCTTTGAGGCCAGCCTGGGCAACACAGCAAGACCCTGTCTATATTCTTTAAAAAAATACCCTGGAGAAACCATCCGTTTGATTTTGCTTTCTGACAAACTTCTTAGTCCTGTCTTGTGACTAACAGTATGTTAATGCCTTTTGGCTTTATTGTCCAAAAGCTTAGGAAGTGAGGCTGCCAAATAGAGCTTCAGAGGTACTGGCATATTTATCTATACTGTAGATGTCATGCAGTTACTAAAAATGGTGTTATCTGTGCCCATGTCAAGGGATTTTGTGTGTGTGTGTGTTTTTTTTTAGATGAAGTCTCGCTCTGTTGCCCAGATTGGAGTGCAGCAATACAAACTCAGCTGGCTGCAGCCTCCGCCTCCAGGTTCAAGCGATTCTCCTGCCTCAGCCTCTCAAGGAGCTGAGACTACAGCTGCGTGCC